AATGGATTGGTGGCCAGAAAGCGGATAGGGACACCTATCATGCAAGTGATGGTTTTGGCCAGAGCGTAGGTAACTAATAGGATTCGAGTCTGAGCTTGATGTACTTGATATACTGTATGTAAATACGGAAATGTAGTAATACATATAATGAAAGTATTAACAATAAATAAAGTCATGGGCAAGATCCCATCTGAACACCAAAAAAAAAAAAACTTTTAATTCACTAGTCTGTTTTAGATGTAATACCCATCAAAATGTTTATCTCGATAAGACAATTTTAACAAGCCCAAAAATGCTAAAGTCTAATTACAGGATCATAAGATCATTAAAGTTTTAAGTTACTTTATATATATTTTAAACTTATTTTAAAATATATACAAAGTAATGTAAAATCTTAATGATCTTAGAAGCCTATAATTGAATTTTGGAATTTTTGAGCTTGTTGGAATCATTTTATCAAGATGAACATTTTGGCAAGTATTTTATTCAAAACAGACTAGTGGATTAAAAGTTATTTACTGTCAAATATTTTAAAAATTTTATTATTATAGTGATTTCAAATATATACAAAAATGATTTTTATCAGTTAAAATTATATATATGCATTTATAAAAATATAAGAGAATGGGGTATTATGACGCAGTTAATATTCACTATAATATAACATAATAAAATTAACTTAGAATTTAAAATATTTTAATAAATAACTATTCTAAAGGTTTCTAAAAAGTAAATTTTTATTTTTTTAAAAAAAAAATTTGATATAAAAAAAATTTTATAATAAAAGAAAATATTTTTAAAAAAACTAATAATCTTTAGATAATAGACCAAAAATGATGCACAGAGTTATATATCAATTTCCTGATAGTTATTTTCCCAAAAGGCCAGTTAATCAATATCATGCTGTATGAAAATTCACTAACAAAATATAACTGCAACTAATAAAATGCTAAATTATCACACCGTGTGATGTAGGCTAGATGGTTTGTTAAAAAAATAACTATTGGGAAGTTGAGCAACATTCGATGCACAGATCACAGATCTACATAACAGCTAAGTAAAATTTATTTTGATTTTTTCTTTTTTTTTCGTCTATTAACTGTTGTTTTTCCTCTTTTTTTTCTCTATTTGCGCCTTTTTAGCCTCTCATTCTAATTTTTTTTGTGCTGCAGATTCTTTTTTGCATTTTATCTCTTTAGCCTTTTTTTCAGCTTCTTCTTCTGCATCTTTTAATGCCTTTAATGATGCTTCATTGGTTAGAAGCTAAGCAAAAGGCATAGTTTTTTGTTTTTTTTCTTTTTTGCAGCTAGGGTTCAAGCTAGTTTTCAGTACTAATCTTTGATTTGTCTTCAGTGGAGCTTAAACAGGGCAAAGAGTACTTAAGAATCATTCGTAAAGATGATGTACCAGAGTTTTTAAGAGTTTCCAGTTCCTCTTTTGTTGCTTCAACTCAGCTTCTAATTCTTTGACTCTTTTGCTAAGATCTTTGACTTCAGATCTTAATGTAGTAGAGGAATGTACATTATTTGAGCTTGATTTTGGAGGAGGTTGTGAAGATGATGTTGTAATTGTTGAAAGCGATAGAATCGATTGTGCCGAAAGGATTTTAGTCGAAGGTGATAGAATCGATTGTGCCAAAAAGATGTCAGGCTGCTTAATAATTAATGAAAGATTAAGGTGGTCAGAGCTAATTGCACTGAGGTTAAAAGGCCATATTTCAGTTGTCTTAAAAGCATTGCAAATTGCCAAGGGTATATAAGTTTTAAGATATGCTGGACCTAAAACTTTGACAAATGTGTGCTTAGTTATGATTTCTCCATTATTACTGATACGAAGTTGCTTACAGCCTTTATGGTATGCAGCTTTAAGCTGTGCAAATAGAAGCTCAGCCGGTTGAAGTATATAAGTAGTATAGGGTGGAAGTGCATATAGAAGGATATTATTATTAAAGCAAATGTTAATATTGGCATAGCTAACATGACTTTTATGTCCGTCAAGAATCAAAAAAACAGGACGAACAGGTGGGATTGAGCGAATAAAATGCTTAATATACTTTTGAAAAAGAGATTCTCGCATATATCCAGTCTCTATAAATCCCATAACAGAGCTAGAAGGAGTACCCTCTAAAAGACCTAGGATTATACATTTTTCTTTGTAAATAATAAGTGGCAGAATGTACGATTTAGCAGCGGAGATGGTTAGTCACACAGAAATATGTTTATTAGAATTATCATGAGAAACTTGATAAACCTGTTAGGAAGGTAAAAAAAAAAAGAAGACAAAATTTTAAAGACATAATTTAATAATATATTATTTTTTTTTTTAAATATTAACAAAATTTTATTTCTACCAGCTGTGCACCCTTTTTCGCAATAACTTTACAAAGTTCAGAATTGAGAACAAAGCCTGTTTTGTCCATATTTCAGATTCTATCAGGAGTAAGGGAATGTTTTTTGATAATTTTTTGAAGCTTATTAAAATGATCTTGCACTATAATAGGGTTGGCTCTTTGTGCTTATGCCTCATTCAAGGCCTAAGGAATACGAAATGAAAGCTCAGGATGATCTCTTATGAAATGTTCCCACCATGACTTGTCCGGCCCACTCTCATTAAAGGGATGTAGTCTTTTACTTTTGTTAATGATTTTTATGACACAGTGATTTACACCCAACCTTGTTAATCCAAAGCCAAGTTTTTGCATATTTAGACAATAACCAACTAGTTGTTGTTCTTCATAGTTGATTAAAACATTGGCAGGACCTGGGCAATTTAAAGAGCCTTTATTTTTTATAGCACGTCTTAAGGTTGCCTCAGGTATGCCAAATCTTGCAATTTTTTATTAGAGATGGTTCAAGAATTCTCAAGTTCCTTAAGAGCTCTTTTAATAGCTTTTTTTCTATCATTATAGGAAGGCATGCTGAATTATTTTTTATTTAAGATTGAATTAATTTATTTAAGTGCAGATTTAAGGCAAATTGGATTTATTGAAGTATAAATAAGAGCAAGTATGTCTATTTATAATATATTGCTATTGCTTATTATTTACTTACAAACGCGTTACTAAATTTTATTTTATCTTAATA